TCGTTTTGTTTTTGACTGCTAGTCAAAATCCATGTATTACATTGCTCCGTGTGATCAATACCATACAGATATGCGATTGCTTGTTTACATGGTTCTGTAAGCCACTACTGATGAGGGAACTGTGATTTTGCCATGTTAATTCACAGAAGTGAAACATGCACGTTTTATTTAGATGCTCCTGGGAAAGACCCAACAAATCTATCGGTTACTGATAGGGGCGGCATGTCGTTCGAGACTTTACATCTGTTTGCGCAACTGCGGTACTTAAACTTGGAGCCTAGCTATATCAAGCGTTACTACCGGTATCAGAATATCATTACTTTACAGTATGATCAGAGGTGATTTTTGTTTCTCTGCACATGGTCTTAGGCAGAATTTGTTCGCTGACCTGTTTCTCATAGGTTTATTCCCGAAAGACAGCTGTTCTTAGGGGCAGACCTAGCAGCGGCACATTTCATCGTTCATCGCGGAGGTAGTGTGAAGTTTCTTGGCGACGAAACTTGGCATCGAAGAAACGACCGCGGCGAGTACATTCTTCCTGGAAAACGAGTGTCCAGTTACGCTGACCGTTTTGTTTGAAAGAGCGCATTCCATCAGTGTGCTTTTCTAGATCTTTTTGTCGAAGCGATCGATGCGTCAAACACTTTTTTAATGTTTGAAGGCTTCTCCAATTTGCGTAAGTTGTTTCGCCTTGCGGTTACGTTGCATTTTTAAGTATGGAGTCATGATTATAGACGGCTTGCGGAAATTGCGCTACCTGCGCATCGCCGATTGTCCCTTCATCAGCGACTGGTGCATGTCGAAGATGAGTCAGTTCAGCAACTCACTGGAGTATTTGGATTTGAGTGGCTGCTCCAAACTGACAGCCAGCGGAATTAGTGGACTCAGTTGCTTAAAGTATGTCTTCGTATTTGTTGCAAAGACTCGTATCATCATGTTCTAATGTGGCTCTTCCTAATTCAGTGTCTCCCGTATCACAGAAAAATGAGAGAAAAAACCGT